GACCTGCGTGTTGCTGTACGCGGTATGATACCGCGATAGTTGGATAATCCAACTCTTTCACGAGCACATTCATACGCTCATTTTTTGCACTTCGAGGAGTACTGAAGAGTGAAGCTGTATCTGGGCTTTCGTCGCCATTCAACGATCTTTGAGCGGATGGTTATTGAATTGAACACGAGCAAGATGCTGCGCCTTCAGCCACAGGTTTCTCGAAAGTAGCTCTTTCTCATCCTTGACTGTTGTGGATGTTATTGCGTTTACACATAGAAGGCACTGAGTGCCTTGTGACGAGTCTCGTCACATCAACCCGACTTCTCACGCTACGAGATATTTTGGACTAGCGTTGCTTGCTCCTGCCAGTGGCAGGGGCAAGCAACGCTAGTGGCAGGCTGTGTTTGGCATGTTTGGCAAAATGGCAGACGGCACTGCGACTCGCCATTTTGCTAATGTGGCAATTCTCAGAGCTCCCAGAGCTGAGCTCTGAGTTGTAATTTACTTACTCTAAGTGATTCCACGACTATGCGTCATAAGACGCATCAGTCCCATAAGCAGCGTTAACCATGAACGAGAATGCGCTGGGGAGTGTAAACATCCAATTCGGACAATGTGAGTTCAGATTCTGATCTCAAAGCTTGTACAATGACTTCTTGACATACCGCTGTAGAACAATGCCGTGAGTTACGCCAAAATAGATGACATATGACATGCACAGCTACGAGAGGGCCATGAGCCATCTGATAAATAATGCGTGGCTAATATATTGCAGCTGAACCTCAAGCGGATGATCTGAAAGGGAGGTCATTTTTTCCTCTATTTGTTTGTCCTGTTTTTCGCAGGCCAAGATATCTCCCTCAGGAGAATGAATTGGCTTGGACGTCGCGCAATTTCTATGCGTGCTGTGCAAACCAAATGCATAATGCGTTCCTAGCGCGTAATGCGTTGAACGGATGTGATATATCTAAGTCAGATCGCCTGCTTAATTTTTCGCTTCCGGAGAGCAACTGACGATATCTCTTCACTGGTGATCAACTCCTCCGAATGACCCTTCGGAATCGGTGGTAAGCTCCTATTACTGTATTCTAGGGGGTAGACCCGTGGCTCCAAATAAGGATCCTAGCTGGCAGTGCTGAAAAATATGTTCGCTTTCCTCAGCTGAGCTTGACAGTTTCCTCACTAAATATACACGTTAACATACGAATCATTGTAAAAATGTAGAGGACTCAATGAGAATTTCTCAAAATTTCCTCAGAATTCTCATTTTTTCACCAACATATGTGGTTGACCATGTGCATATTGTCCGAATTATGAATCGGCAGCTGCCGATTCTAGTTGCAACCTGAGCCCCCAAATATCCCACAACATGACAGGCCATCAACCAGATTAATCGGGATGTCACTACTATTAAGAGGGAATCGGGTCTGAGAAATTCTCAGTGCAGACTCAGTGAAACCGCCAAACAAAACGAACCAGTATCGGGCAGATGTTGTGAGAAGCAACACTTATGGTGGTAGGCTACCACTGGTAGCAGCATCAGGTCATACTACAGCTTGATCAAGCCACGTGTCTCATAGCATTGCAATTTACTACATGCTCCGAGCATGTCACCGAATAACTAGTATATCCATACGCTTTGATTAGTTCATATGAATCGCATTTAGGATGTGAAATGTGATGTTTGAGATTGTAAAGTATTAGCCATAATATGCTACATTATTGAAAGATCAAGAAAAATCGTGGAGGATACGTCTTCATCCAAGATCTTCCAGGGCCGAAGATTCGGGGTGTAAAAACTTCGTACTACAAAATTCGTAGCGGATTCCACATTTGTATAATTCAACTAAACCACATATCGCGGTTATCGTCCATGCTGGGTCGCTCGTGAAGGCCGGTTAGACCTCACCGAGTCTTCCTCCTGCAATCATGCTAATTCGAACGTGTGAGATATTTTTACTAGTGTTTTTATATCAGGGGTGAAACTCCATCATTGAGTCCCTCAGGTTCAGCGAGCAGCCTATAGTGGTTCTGAGTGCCAACGAAGTGGTATCTTCCGATGAGGTCATCCACGAAGACCAGATAGCCCTCAGGGCGCCCCGAGCCAGTGCGGCACGGGATAAACGGATTCCTGATGTAAGTGGGGTTATATGATGTGCTTTTCACTAGTGTTTTTCACGTCACAAGTGAAACTCCATTATTATATTATTAAATTGATATCTATCCTCAATATCCTTGTAGGTTTGATGGGGTCAGCCGAGAACAGGTTGAGAATCCCATATTAGATGTTCACATGCAGGTGCGAGTTGAGATCCTCAGCGGCTCTGTTGTTGGTGAAGATTCTGATAGTATTCGCAGTTGACAAGACCGGATGGTCTTCGCAACGAACCTCCCATTTGGGGTCACTCGAGAGGACTTAGCGCACGCCCTGGGCAATGTAGCTCCTCTTTGATTTGCATTTGATGAGAGTTCTCATTGAATTCAGATTGGCCGGATTGTTGACGTGGAGATATTCAACGGCAGGGCCTCGAGCGCGGATTCGATTTCTGATAGTTCGCAAAGTTTTGCGGCTCACGAGTCGCGTATAACAGCATTGATCGAATTTGAGACGGAAAAGGTGGGAGAGTTGGAGTTGAAGTAAGAGGAAGTCATCTGATGAATTTCAGTCGGCGAGGATGTGCCGGTCGAACGTGGCTCGGCTCTTCGGTATTGTTTGTACGAGTGCTGATGATGTTTCTAACAGAGTCATGCGCCTCGAGCCTGCGATATTCAAACGAACACTTATGATCACAAGAGTTGCCTGGCAGTAAGTGGGATAGTCGAGGAATTGTATATTGAAATTACTAAACGTTTGTGGTTACAAAATGCGTATCGTATTGCAGATATATGCTCTCTGAAGTATTAGAGAGTATCGGGTCCATCATAACTGCTGACACCAACGCACGACTTGAGATGAGGGTTCGCAATGCGCCGATATTCGAGGTGGGCGAGGATGGGTCGAGGTCCTCTCAGTAGTCTACCGTGGCATGTCAGATCCCCAACGCCGACCTTTCCAAGACGTCCATTCCCCTGAAGAGCCTGCGTGTCACTTCTGAGTCGGCGAGAACTGTAGAAGTCAGTCAGGACCCTCCAGTGAGCGTTGATGAAGTTTTAAAGCTCAAGGTGGGCATTTCGAGGGCTCGTATGATATTGTATTCGGCCGATCGATCAGGTCTTGAGAGACGCTGAGGCCCTGGGGGGCTCGGGTGCAACTGAGGGTGAGACTACTGTTGATGTTCTGAGTGATACCAGATGGTTCGTACAAGAACAGCTCAACGATGGTATCGTTTGCTTGAGGTGAAGATTCGACGCTGTCCGTTGTTTTTGTGAGGATCTGTCGTAGTTTGCGTATTTTGCTGTCATTTTCTCCGATTGTTATTGCTTAGATTTCCGACCTTTGCAGACACGTATGCAGCCATGAAGAAATTGACCTCACCGGGTGTGGTCCTGCTAGGAGATGAAGTTCCCCAAGTTGAATTCTGTGCGAAGTCTTTAAGGTGAAGTTTTCGGCGAGTCGATGCGGCCATACCGGACCTTCAGTTTCGTCTCGTCGCACGTCGAAGGGGTAGAAGTTGAGGACGAATCATCGGGTGGAATTTATGTTGACTTTCTTCTTCCGGAGAGAAGTGGTGAGTTCATGAAAATACAAAGTTTGCGAATTGATCGCTGTCGACGGTCATACAGTGACTCGGCTCGATAAGGACTCGTGTGTTTGCATAGTGTTTTTGCTTTCAGCCAAGTATGTAGATGCGCACGACACGCCTCTTTCTATAGACGGTATCCCCAGCAGGGAAATGCTCGCATGAGAAAGTTTGCAACTTCGTTTCTGTCGAATTTTCTCCTGTGTTATTCTGATTTAGTATTGGATAAGGCTCTTATTATAAGAGCCAATGATGGAACGCCTTCAGTCAAAATTTCGATCGTCCGAATGTGTTGAGCTTTTGACGCCCTGCTGCCCTTGGCACACATGTAGTTAAGTACCAGGCAATAGCTCAGCCGGTAGCTCTCTGGTAGTGGGTCAACAGAAAAGGAACAGGAAGCCACATGAAACCCTAATTATAGAATAGATAGCACACGATTCATAACCGAACCATCCAGAGAAGGTTAACCCTCCACGCAGGCATCAACGTGCAATCTTGTCACAGTTTGCAATAGAATACATCACATTGAACTTCTCACCGCAGCTTTAGTGTAACAAACGAGACCAGTTAGGTGTATCGCAGCGCGAACCTCGCGTCGCGAGGTGCTCCGCATTGTTCTACAGAAGTGCATGGGAGCGCTACTGACTAGCGGCTGAATAGGTGTTGCAGTTGTTGTGCTAACGAAGATACTAGTCGAAAGAGTACAGGGACGGTTTTCGCGAGCCTTTCGGCTCGCTTGAAAACCGTCGAAGCAGCAGCTCTCTCT